TAAGCACTTTGTCTCCTCAATCAGTTCCTTTAACCATCTATTCAATGTAAAGTAATGTTTTTTTTAAAAAAAACATTCACTCATTCAGATAAGGAATAAACAGACCATACAGAAACAAATTTAGCTTGCTCCAAAATCTTGCTTCTTGAAAACTGAAGCATTTACTGATCAATTTATAGGCACAAATTATAAATAGCGGAACGAGTAACTTTAAAAGGTAGGTCAAAGCAACGTCCCTCTCTTGTCCATTGTCCACTGCATAATTCAATTATCACTGGAATTAAAGTCATAGTTACCAATCAGTAAGTTACATAACAATATCCATCTTACCTGGTAATTACATATGTTTCCATGTGCATATCTTAGACAATTCTTAACAAGATGTTTTTCCACTCTTAAACCATTGCCAGAGATTATAGCAAAGTACCAATTTCAAAGTTTAATGAACTCTTCATCAAAGCAAATTGGGATAATATTTAATTATTTACGTACGTTTTACAATCTGAATTTTATTCTGTATAAAATATCAAGAAATAAATTAATATAAAAGGAAAATGTTTTGGTCCTGGAGGTGGTTGAACATATGATAAAACTGTATATTCTTCTTAATTTGTACTTTAAATATGACTACTGTAGTGTCCCGTAATTCTGTTAATCCACAGTCCCAGTAAAATCCTAGAGTTGATGGTGTAAAATACCTTCTGCTGAATATGTCATCACATCTGAAAATATGGTGCTTTGCATATGTCATTGAGTCAGACAGAACCTACAACAAAGAGCCCATGCAAAGTTTCATTCTAGACAGTCAGCTTATAGCAGAAACAGTCCAAATAGATCAAACAACACACAGTAAGTACCTGATCAAACCCCCTTGTGCTGCGGTAACAAATGGGAAGAATAAGAGTTTCCTTGGTATTTTCAATGGTTGTACCTTCCTGTCAGTTTTTCTACTTTGATAAAGCCTTGCTCCAGCATTCTATTCTTGTTTACCATAGATTTTATAAATAGAATGAAACATGCAAGTCCAATTTGAAGGAGCTTCTTAACAATACAAGGAACACATTACGCCAGCTAACGTCCTTTCAACAACCTGCATTTGTATAGTGACCTTCACGTGGGTAACATCCCTTTTTATCCTGAACATTATGTTAAGAAAAAATATGTAACTGGACTTTGGTTGCAAAACATTCACAGTATATTGTTTCAGGCAGCTTTCACGCATTTAAAAAATTGTGGATGAGTTGACATGCCAAGTTAAATGCTTGCCAATTGCTTTGCCCTGTCATGTCAGACTGTATTTTCTAGTATGTCCTCAGGGAGAAAAGGTTTATAAATGCAAGTAAGCGATTCACTTCAACTTGACAAATGAGCTCTCCAGGAAAACATACACTGAATGCGAATGAAGTTAACCAAAAATAATGACTGTATAAAAACCTTTTCGAGCTATAGCATTTAGGAAATCCTGCAGCGCCATACAAGACACACACTTAAATACCACAATAAATACAGGACTTGAGAGGATTTTAAAACTTTTTCTGAGAATATTATTAATCAAGTGATGTTCTGCACCAAACTGAGGTAAAGGAAACATTACCAGAATAGCCTTGCTTGGCAGTGGAGAGAAATGGCCATATTTCCTTCCTACCACTTCGTCAAAGAATCAAGCAGCTTCACTTCATCAATAATACTTACGTTGACCTTATCACATCATCAAAGCAACTCAAAGAGCTTTACAGGATGTTACTATAAAGTACAGTGACCATATAGTTGTAGACAAATTTGGCAGCTAATTTGGCAAAGCAAATAACCATGAAATGAGGTTGTGGGTTGGGAAAATAAGGTAAATAACCGATGTACAAATTAGAGGGTTGGGTTACCCACGTGCAATACAAAACTTGAAGATGCTATTAAGTATGCAAACAACAAGCAGTGTAAATTACTTTGGGTATTAAATACATAATTAAGGTCACCTGCAATTCAAAAGGCAAATCACGCAGGTTTAATTCAAATTAGACTCCATTATGATCACTTTGTTCATATTAACTTTCCTTCCCTAAAATGTTATCTTTTGTAAAATCATACTCACTTTTCATGCCTCTACATTCTAAAAAAATACTGGTGATAAAACAGCATTTTTGAGATTCATAGAATCATAGAATATTACAGCACAGAAGGAGGCTGTTCGGCCCATCGTGCCTGTGCCGATTCATAGAAATTTGTTTTGAAAAATAAGCTTTACACCTAAAATGCATCATACTTCTGTTGTCGTAGGTTTATTTTGTTGCCATAGGTATTATGGTTTTGGGGAACTGAAACTGGACTCACTGAATGCTGGCAATCTGCTGCTTGTGTCATGAAAGGCCCCACAAATCAAAACAGGTTAAATTTAATTTTGTTTTGCTAAATAAATTCACCACAAAAAAATTCTACACTTCTTTTTGTTGTCAGCTACGGTTTATGAACAATGAAAGTGGGCAGGCCCAGTCTTGCATTAAAAATGTAAGAAATTGTTATCCTTTTTTTTAAGGGATCTTCTATCATTGATGAGCTTTATTAAAAAATGCTTTCATTAAGCCCCAAAATATAAGGTATTATCTGTACCCGTTGCAGCTACACTTGCAAACAGTTTAATTTAATCGGCCTTTTCTCTTTCGTCTGGCATTTTAATTTGTCCTTGAAAGGCTTTTGTTGTTGTTGATCTTCAGTTCTTAGGCATCTTGATCCCTTAAGATTAAGAAAATATGCTATTGAACTCATTAGCATCCATTGTTCACATATCCATTTAGGAGGACTCCTGTGGAAGAACTCCTGTTGGGAAGCCTCAGTGGGAGCACTACAGTTGGTAGGACTTCTTGGTGGGAGGACTCCTTGTTGGAGTCCATACATGTGTGATGAGCTTAAGTCACATTAGGAGATCCCCGGGGCAACAAATATGCCCAAGGCACTCCCCAATGCAAGACCTTTCCGATGAGCTATAAATCATAAATAATCTTTGCAATTGATACAGCGCTTTTCAAGTCTTCGAGACGTCTCAAAATGCTTCACAGAATATACTGCAAAGTGAATTGACTGTATATAAATATTTGTCTCTAGGTCAAAAAAAATACACTGAGTCCCATAATCTCTCAAGAATGGGGAGGTGAGAGAGAGTTTTTTGGGGGAAGGAGAGGGGAAAAGTTAAATGAGCATGTGAGCATGTGAGGAGGGAGGGAGGGAGCGAGGGAGCGAGGGAGCGAGGGGTAAGAGAGGGTTAAAGTGAAGCCTGAGGCCTGCTCACTGACTAAGCACCAGGAGTCAAGAGAGAGATCCCAGCACAGCTCACGCACCGCGCATGTGTCTGTCCGCCAATAAACCATTATTGACATTATATACTTCATTTATACCTTATCGATTTATACCTTACCATAAAGGTCTTGCATGTTTTTTTTTTGGTGGGGGGTGGGGAGATCTCGTATCGTTGATGAGCTATGACCTAACAAGCTCATCACATATGTATGGCAGTTTTGTTTAAGGTGTACACACAGTGTTTATGGTTTGTGAATGGTATCACTGAAATCCTCATTCCATGTTGGATCCTTTGGTTGCAAGCGCAGCTGCAACGGTTACAGGGAGTATTATACATATGGAATATTATGTCTGGCAAATTGAACAAATTGTTACTTAATAACCCTGCAGGATTACACACAACTGTTAAGCTTTCAGTACAGGTTTGGTCATGCAATCACTGAAGAGCAAGTCCTGGCTGATATTTACCATGACAACAGATGCGGGGATGGGGGAGAAAATATAGGAGGACGTAAAAGCTCTCCTTAACATTTCAACTGTATATATTATTAAAACAAAATGGGCACTTGGCAGTAACTTCATCTCAGCATTCAGATGAAAGTGATACAAAAGCTTCAGCTTTTCTCTCGTTAGAAAATATGAAACTCGAGATGAGATTATGGGCCTTAATCACTCTTGGGTTTTCACTTTTCTCTATGTATTTTTCAAGGAAATGTTCCTCCCTGTGTTTCAGAAAACAATATCGCTGAAAACTGTGAGTTCAGATACCTAGGCAGCTTTTTAGCAAGCATCCTGAGCACTTCTCTGTTGTTAATTCACAGAGTCCGCAGTTAAATTAATATTTGGGTTTTAAGTGAAGTTCGGTCAGTCTCAATCTAGTTCCCAGTGAGCACGAGATTGTCCATAACTTGCATTAAATTGACAATCTCACACAGAGAGAACGGAAGGACGGCTGGTGTGCAAAATGGGCACGTCGCATTGGAGCATTGGGGAATGTGCTCTTCCAATGTAATTATTGAGTTGAAGGGACCCATATCTGACCTGGGAGCTCTGGATATGAAAATTGCATGCAAAAATAGAACATTTTCCATTCCCCAGCATGACACCATGTCTTTAACCTTGAAAAGCACAAAAAAACCACAAATTGAAAGAAAATTTACTCTATATTCATTTCTATTTCAACAGCGCAGCTCCGTGCCACAGTCCATTTTTGGTAAAGTGGATATTTTGCCTAAATTATACGTTTTAGCACATTTGTATAAACTATTTTTGTCTAAATACTTTCACAGTACAAAGTACTTGGACATTTTTTGACCCCTGAAAGTTAATCATGTAAAAGTACTGAAGTAACAAAAAAGAGTACTAAACTTGAAGTGTCACCAACATTTCATGCTTATGGTTTTTATAGTGTGCAGTTTTTTAAAAAATAATATTCTGTTGAATGTTACTTTGTCTTTTTTTTATTAATTTGCCCAAAACAGTAGGCAGTAATTATTTTGTTTTAGAAAACACAGGGAAGACAATAGCAATTCAATTCAGGCCATCACCAAACCCATTAATGACAGAGAAGTGAAACTTTTGCAAGATTTTAAACCAAGGAGAAACTTATATATATTTGCAGTTATTAATTTAAGTTAAGGTTTAAGTATTGATTGGATTTTAGAAATGGTACCAGAACAGCAGTGCTTGTTGGTGTGTAAAGCTCAGGCACTCACCACTTCCCCAACTGAAGCACCAACCATCTGTACAAGTGGGGCCGTTTTTGGAGATGAGTGAGGTTCCAGCGCTGATTTGATACATTCGTAAGAAACGAAGAAAGCAGCAGCTGAAATTCAGTTTTACACAAGACAAAGGATTCCAGTCAGTCATCAAAACACAGAAAACTTGATGTAATTCTTCGAAAAATTTGCAAAGCATACACTTATTGTCTAATTGCTCATTTGTGTTTCTATTAGTTTCGGAAATCTAGCATTATGTTCAAGCTCTTTTGTCATCTTGATGAAGTGTAAACTATATTGCACTGTTATTTCAGCACAGTCATTAACTGAAGAACACTAAATAATCATTGTTAAAATATGGGATAACCAGCCCTTATTTAGAAAGTGACATGCAAATCAAGCTATTAAGGACTTCCCAAGTATAATCTTCTGCCCTTCTCTGGTTGCCTGATCCTCAACCAAAAGCTTATTAAACTTCTACTTAATTCACTGCCCGGAGATGGTTATGAGTTGTCTGAAATGACACACTACAAGTGTTAATTTTCTCCTCTCTAAGGTATGATCTATACTTGGTTCTGGTTCTGACAACCCATCTAAAATGAGCGTAATATTGAACACTGCTTTGATTAAGAATATAAGGAATACAATTCCATTCTTTTCAATGCACCTCACTGAAATTACCTACAAGTTACAGAGAATCCCCCCAAAAGTTCTATTAATTCCTTAAGGCTTTATTCACACTGCAAAGCATTAACTTAACTAAACAGTAATCATCTATTCTCCACGGGCGCAATGCAATGATCCCATACTGAACCACTATCCTCACTAAATAGGAGTCATCTAAATATTTCAAATGATGTCATTATTGTCTAATTCTTTTAGTATTGAATAAAACGAGGAGAATTTTTTTCCAAAACATTAAGGTTTGCCTCCCCTGAAGTCACTGTATAATCGAAGATCCAGGAGACAAATTTGGAACTATTTTGTTTTAAAACTTTTTTTATTTTGAGAATATACAAAATACAGAGTAATTACTACAGATTGCGAGGGAGAAAGCCTCAAACAAAGGCCCAAAGAAAAAGGGCATAATTTGCAGTAAAACAGCAGCAACACAATGCAGTTTAGATTCAGTTCAAAACAGTTAAACAACTGAAGTATGATTAAGCAGTCACATATTAGCCTTAGAAATAACGCATGTGTTCAGTTGAATCCAGAAGACCCAACTGGAATCAGTACAATGAGTCATAGAATTTGAAACAAGAAAAGTCTGAAACATGATTATCAAGGCTCCAAAACAATAGTTCACGTATTTGACATAGAAAGGTAGGTGATATGCCTGTAGAAAATAAGCAGCCCCCACCTCGGAACTAAGCTCAGAACGAAGGCTTTAAGGCTTTACATAAATAACTTAACTTAAGATAGAGAATACATCCGTGTCTCCAACTGATACACGTTCAATAATTATACTCTTCATGCTGAGCAAGATGGCATTGATGCCTCTCTACAGACCATTGGAAGCCTTGACCTTACCATGTACAGAAGGAGGCCAATGAAATGCCCCATTTGACCTCCACATGGTCACAGCAAATCCATAATATAATGATAATTCCTTGCATTTGATATACCGCTTTTCACATTCTCTAGACGTCTCAAAGCGCTTAAATTAGATCAGGTGCTACAGGAATACTTGGGAAGGGACAGATTTTCTGAAGTATAATGGCCCAATAGATGGCATGCAAGTGGGAACCAACTCCTATTCTCCTATCTCCAACACTAATCTGCAATCTCAGGCTGCCAATCATGTAGGCATTCTTGTGTGCAGTAGGTACGAAGGAGGATTTTCAGTTATCCTTCCTGCAGGCAGCTGTTGTGTGAGAGCCAAATACTGCAGGCTGAATAGCCTCTCATTACCCATCTGAAATCATACAATAGGAATTTGGTTATCAAAGTCTCTCGTGAGCGAAACAAACTTTCTTTTAAGATGGTTGCCTTTTTTTAAAAAAACATTTCTTCAGATCCACCACTCCCTTCCCACCTCCCACCACCACTAGAAGCAATGTGTCAGGTTTGCCAGAATAAAGCTGCAATACCAATCTGTTTTCCTCAACCTGAATGACTCCAAGCTTACAACATGCCTGAAAACCTGACCCATTGTTTCCCTTAGAGAAAGGAAGTAATGGATCGGGAGAAATGTTTTTAAAAAATAGTAGCAACTATTTTAGGGGTTAAGCTTGCCTTGCAGAAAAACATCTGATCGGATCAAACCGCCCTCCGGCAAAGGAGAGTTGTGAACTGTGAAAGATACACATCAATTGCAAAGATGATTAGATCTTGTTGCCTATGCAAACCTGAGGCAGACATCCCAAATGAGACCAGACCAGAAGGACCTCATCCATAACAGGATGAATCTAAACAGACTGGAAACCTATCAAGGAACAGCTCTGTTTCACCTCCATCCATTGCAGAGGCAAATTTGAGAAATGTGCAGCCAAATTGAAAAGGTAGCACCCTCCCAAAACACCTATGTGAACTGTACTTTGTTTCAAAACGGTGGGACAGGGTGCACTGGAAATCAAGTAAACAGAGAAGATTATATGAGTTGAGAAAAATATTACCAGATTTTGCAAAACTAATGTACCAACAACAAAGGCACTTTCAAAGGAAGCTCTCACATGCCTTCCAAACGATTGATATTCATCAATTTGCTCATTAAAATGGTAGCTATTATACATTACTCTAAGGATTTTTAAATGCAATGCTATTCTCAAGAGAGGGAAATAAGTCCCATGTATTCTGAATTTAATTGGACAAGATGACTGTAACTGCCTGACCTTTGCAGTTAATTAAAGCAATGCTAATCACTACAGAGAAGCATAAAACTGGCGTTCATTTCATGGACAAAAATATAATAGATTATATAAACAATTACTTGATGGACGTGCGACATTTCAATGTGGCCTACAAATGAGGTGCCAATGGGCTTTTCATGTTAAACTTCATTGCTGCACTGAATTCGCGAGTCAAATGATCACACCCTGAGGCAATCCCAAATCTTTAGAGACCATAAATTCACTAGATCAATAAGGAAGTAATTCTGGTTTACGAGATCAACGTGCACTGTGCTGCAGGTCCAACTGATGAGAAAAAGCCAATGCTTTCAGCACCTTTTCAAACGCACACGTTTCCTTCATTTCACTTGAAGAATTTACAAAAGTGGAAATGGAGGTGCATATTCTAAACAGTATACAAACTTTATAGCAAATAACATCTGAGCCTTAACCAACACCCCTCTCTCCTTGTCCCCCACCTCCTCCCCCGCCCTCACCTGTCATAACGTGATTGTTTAGGTCTGTGGTAAACATCCAGCTTCTGGCATTGAATGCCCAGCTTCCAGCACATAGGTGCAGAAGTCCTCCCAGCATCTAATACCTCTCTAACCTCCTCTCTCCCCGATCCATCACCCGGAGCTTCTGCTCAACTGGCATTGGCCTCCTACTCACCCTCCCACCCTCCGCCCCACCATCAGAAGTCACGCTTTCAGCCACTAGGCCCCATATGTCTGGAACACTCTCCTTTAATCCCTCCGCCATGCCCCGTCTCCCCTTTTCCAGGTCCCGTCTGAAAACCTTCCTCTTCAACCGTGCTTATGGCCACCTCCCCCCACAACACCCACCCTCACCCTCCCCCCACCCCGGCTCGGAGTTCAGCTCCGCCACTGTTAAGCGCTCTGAGATGCTACCGTGCATGGAGGGCGCTATATAAGTGCAAGTTGCTGTTGTTGTTGTAATGATGTCCAAGCAACTGCTTGACAGGCCTGGGTTGGCACGTGAGATTCGGGTGGGAGTCGAATGAGGTTTGGAGGGGAAAAGATGACTGAAGGCATGGTCAAAGAGGAAGATCTTGAGACAACAACAACAACAAGATTCCATTTATAGAGCGCCTTTCACGTCGAGAGGATGTCCCAAGGCGCTGGACAGTTGGGTCAGGACCCGAGCCTTGGGGGAAAAATGGTCAGGATGAGGGAAGGGAGGGAGGGAGCGAGGAAATGGTCAGGGTGAGACAGACCTTGAAAGGGGTGAGTTGGAGAGGCTCCAGGACTCAGTACTGCATAATACACATTAAATAACAGATTCCTGGGATTCAATTATAATGCAGTACTCCATCAAGGAACTCACTGGCGATATTTAGGAAAAAATAAGTATCAGTGAGTTACTACAATGTCTTTTCACCTCCGGGACTTGGGTTTCAATCCAGTCAAGGCTGATATGATGAAAGCCTCCCTTTTACTGTGTTCTCAATGCACACAAATGCTCAGGGCAAGAACACCCACAGTTCAGTAGAAACTGGCAATCTCGACTACGAAAGATCAGAACGGCAACTGGTGTGTGAAGTATTGTGCCTTCTTGAGATGGAGGTTAAGGCTCATTGCTGGATCAGGAGATGCAGGAGCTTTTCCTATTCTACACAAAGTCCTGGGAGCCATGGATAAATGTAGCTATAAAAATCCCCCAAATCAACAAAGCTTGACACAAGAAAACAGGGTTAACATTTTGGCTGGGTCTTTTCTAAGAAAGAATAATTTCTGAAGTATGAACAGTTCCCTCTTAAGACTTCCTCTTCGGTACAGACTGACCTGATGTGGATTTCTGAAAATAAAATTGTTCTGGGCTTCTTAACCCACAAAGCAATTAAATATACCAAGTGCAAATTTACTCATTTACATAAAATAATTCTTACAAAAACTGTATTCCACAACATACTATAACACACTTATCTCCTATACAAGCAGTTACATTAGATTTTCAAAAGATGTCAAGAATTTACCACTGGGAAAAGATCCTATGGCAGCACTAGGAACACCAGCATAAATGCCTCGAAATCCTCCTGTCTTGGAGAAGCCTTGAGAGCTCTGTAGTCTGGTTTTAATGGTGTCTAGTGGAAAGAGAATCAGGTCTACACATATGCCTGCTACACCACCAGCCTAAATCAACAAGCAAAAGCAACACAGATCAGTTATTTGTGGTAATGCTGTATTCACACACACACACACGTTACAATTACATTGCAACTTCTGAAATTGAAAGCATTAGCATTTGAAAGCATTTATGTTCAAACTGTATAATTTTGTTTTGTGGTATACAAATTTTTAAAATGGGTTATTTGCTATTGATAAAATCACTGACAATGTTAGATAGATATGCTTTAAGGCCACAGTGGTTTCTCTAAACAATTTCTTCTGTGATTCTTTGTGCCTTGGATGAGGGCAACCAAGTTATTAAATAGATCAATTATCCAAGCACAATGTGAACCTAATAGTTACACATTATGATCTTCTGACTTGAATCCCACTGAAGATCAAACAGCAACAAATGAGAGGCTGACCCTGTAATTTATATATCATAGTTTAACCTTTGACTCTTGAAATCTTTATTTCCCAAGGTATCAAAATGTAAGAATTATGATTTGGAATCTATTCTGTTTTTTCAATCAAGTGTTAGTGTGTACATTATTGACCTGGGTTAGGAAGTAGAAATCAACCAGGATTCCTGATCCCACTCCAGCAACATATGTGAGATGGAGGTGGTTGTAGACCAGGATGGCGACAGGATTGAGCTTACTTAGCTTACAACGATCAGCCTCAGTGCCCCTGGGATAGGAAGGGGAGAATTAACCAGGATACAAGATGACACCGGAAAAAGCCTAATACTGTACTTCACTTCTGCTCTACTCCAGCGCTCACGCCAATTCTAGACACCAATCAGGGTGTTTTAATTTTTTTTATTTTGCATAATTTGTTTTTCTTTTATCGAATTAAGTATGCATGTCTGTTTAATGAAAGAAAACATTGATTAGTTTTAATCTGCCTATCCAATTTACACGTATACTTCATGTAAATTTACTTTTTGGAAACTCCCATTTATCCTACTTTAAAAGGGATTCCCTCAAGTATTAAACATAACTTCACTATCTTTATTTACTTGAGATTTGCACTCAGTCTTCAAATCTCAGTTTTCTTCTTTCGCCATCCCAAATCCCCCAAATGTTGATGGAGTTACAGTTAAACTGTAATCCAATGCTAAATATCGATAAGTGCCTGATGAAGTTCGCAGGGGCAGTTGTTAAGGAAAGGACATTTCTTCACCTTGATGGGACATAGTTGGCACTGCAGGCCAGTATAAACTCAAATATTACATGTTCAACCTGCACTGGGCTGTCAACAATCTTAACTAAAACCTCCATTTCATCTTGTACCTCGTCAAGTCAAAACAGCCCAAAGCACTTCAAAGAAGCAAATAAATAATTTGCTTTTACTCTACCCCCGCACTCACCCCCACCCCAGTACAGTATTATCCTTTCTAACATTAATTAGAGATTCTTTCTAATATCTTACAACTCCCAATAAGTAATTCTGTGCAAATAACCTATAAAATCAAGACAAAGATAATAATATCTTTTAAAATTATTTGTTTCAGAAAATGTCCTTGAATGTCATCATCACAACACCTTGAGGGAAATGAAGTTTCTATATTGCTACCACAGTAATTACTGTACACTACTAATTACTTTATAACAGTAATAATGGGATGCTAACCTGCATGAGGGGTGCTATATAAATGCAAGTTTTTGTTATAATGTAGCCAATGATATACCGCACATTATTGCCATCTTTGTTGCAGCACCGGAGCTTCATATTATTTCCACTTGTCAATGTTTACAAAATTGATTATTTTTGAAACAGGTTTGACTTGTGTGTTTCACTGTACAAATAAAATGTTAAACAAAGTAAGTTAGAGCATTGTTTCTTGATATTTCTAATGTAAACACTGAACTGTTTATTGTCAATTGTGCCAAATGACCAATCTGGGGATTTAATTCATAATTGATTGCAATATTTTAAAATTTAATATGTAGTCAGTAATCTTAATAATAATAATAATAATCCTTGCATTTGATATAGCGCTTTTCACGTTGGAAGGACGTCCCAAAGCGCTTCACAGAACACACTGTAAAGTGAATTGACTGTATATTTGTGGGCGAATGCGGCAGCCAATTGCGCACAGCAATGTCCCACAAACAGTCATAGATTGAAAATGACTAATTTTATTATTGTTTTTGGTTTTGGAGGGATTATTATTAGGCTCTGTATGGAGTAAGGAAACTTGCCCAAGGTTTCGCCCTCTGCCTGGAATTGAACTCGGGTCTCTCACTTGCAAAGCGAGTGCTCTAACCACTGAGCTACAGGACTCCAGTAGCAACAAATAGTGGTATTTAATTGTAACAATGTATGTTTACATAGTGATAACAATTATAGCGTTTTTATGTTTTTAAGTCTGTAGTGATAATATATAATATTTAAGCTGATAAGAGGAAATAATAGTCATGATTAACAATAAAATTCGAGATAAAATTTAAGATAACAATAGTAGTCTCACACATAATAACAATATCATGTAATATTTAAGCTGATGACAGTAGTAGAAGGTTTCATAAGCAGTTACTGATAACAGCGCCATATTATAATAGTCAAGAAACAATAACAGTAATATTTGTCTCAGGAGCAGATATTAAGTAATATTTAAGATAAAGAGTACTGTTTAGTCTGGGGAGCAGTTACTAACAATACAGTAATATTTAGACCGTAACTGTAACATTAGTCTCGGGAAGCAGTGGCTGAGAATAACCTACAATAATATTTGAGATGATGGTATGAATGTAAATAATAATAATAATAATAACACTGTTCCTGCCATCAGCTTAAACAGCAGCAGCAGCACTGCCCCCACGTGACCCCGGCGCTGGGGCAGAGCGGCCCCGCACTCACCACGAATGACTTCCTGGGGTCTCTGAGCTGCATCGCGCCCCTCTCACACTCCCGCTCCCCCGACACTGTCACTGACACCCGGGGCAGCGAGGAGGCGGAGGAGACCGAGGAGACCGGCTCCTGCCAGGGAGCGGACATCTTCCCGGTGACCTCCTCCTCCCCCACCGGATCACTTCCGGGGCCCAGTCAGGCTGCTTCCGGTCTCTTCTCCCGTCTCCCTGAGCAGCGGCGGCAACAACAACAACGACGACGACTCCGCTCGCCATAGGCTCTCGCTGTCCGCCGGCCCCCGCCGCAGGCTCTCCCTGGCCGGCACTGGCTGGCAGGGGCTCTCCCTGGCCGGCACTGGCTGGCAGGGGCTCTCCCTGGCCGGCACTGGCTGGCAGGGGCTCTCTCTGGCTGGCAGGGGCTCTCTGGCTGGCAGGGGCTCTCCCTGGCTGGCAGGGGCTCTCTCTGGCTGGCAGGGGCTCTCGCTGGCTGGCAGGGGCTCTCCCTGGCTGGCAGGGGCTCTCCCTGGCTGGCAGGGGCTCTCCCTGGCTGGCAGGGGCTCTCCCTGGCTGGCAGGGGCTCTCGGGCTGGCAGGGGCTCTCGGGCTGGCAGGGGCTCTCTCTGGCTGGCAGGGGCTCTCGGGCTGGCAGGGGCTCTCACTGGCTGGCAGGGGCTCTCTCTGGCCGGCACTGGCTGGCAGGGGCTCTCGCTGGCTGGCAGGGGCTCTCGGGCTGGCAGGGGCTCTCTCGGGCTGGCAGGGGCTCTCACTGGCTGGCAGGGGCTCTCGGGCTGGCAGGGGCTCCCTCTGGCTGGCAGGGGCTCTCACTGGCTGGCAGGGGCTCTCTCTGGCTGGCAGGGGCTCTCTCTGGCTGGCAGGGGCTCTCTCTGGCTGGCAGGGGCTCTCCCTGGCTGGCAGGGGCTCTCTCTGGCTGGCAGGGGCTCTCTCTGCCTGGCAGGGGCTCTCTCGGGCTGGCAGGGGCTCTCTCTGGCTGGCAGAGGCTCTCGCTGGCTGGCAGGGGCTCTCACTGGCTGGCAGGGGCTCTCGCTGGCTGGCAGGGGCTCTCGCTGGCTGGCAGAGGCTCTCTCGGGCTGGCAGGGGCTCTCTCTGGCTGGCAGAGGCTCTCTCGGGCTGGCAGGGGCTCTCCCTGGCTGGCAGGGGCTCTCCCTGGCTGGCAGGGGCTCTCCCTGGCTGGCAGGGGCTCTCCCTGGCTGGCAGGGGCTCTCCCTGGCTGGCAGGGGCTCTCCCTGGCTGGCAGGGGCTCCCTCTGGCTGGCAGGGGCTCTCCCTGGCTGGCAGGGGCTCTCTCTGGCTGGCAGAGGCTCTCTCGGGCTGGCAGGGGCTCCCTCTGGCTGGCAGGGGCTCTCCCTGGCTGGCAGGGGCTCTCCCTGGCTGGCAGGGGCTCTCTCTGGCTGGCAGGGGCTCTCGGGCTGGCAGGGGCTCCCTCTGGCTGGCAGGGGCTCTCCCTGGCTGGCAGGGGCTCTCTCTGGCTGGCAGAGGCTCTCTCGGGCTGGCAGGGGCTCTCACTGGCTGACTAATGGTTGGCACCTGTTCCCCACTTAACACTTCATCTCAGAGATTCCAAGCGTGCCGAATTTTATCAGATTCCTACAGTCAGCCTTTAAATGTTTGAAGCTGCTTTGTCGGTAGGTTATTTTAAGTGCCATTTCAAAGGTGAAAGGAGTTTGTTCCCGACAGTCCTGGACAAACAATCCACCAGATATTATATATTAATATACAAAATAACTGACGTTTAAGTCATGTTCTTTTTGTTTGAAGATGCTGGCTGTAAAATGGTTACCACATTCACCCACTAATATGCAGTCGCTACACTTTGCAGGAAAGATACTCTTGTAAAAGTCTTTGAGGTATTTTGATGTGATGAGGATCGGATATAACAAATGCTAGGATTCTTCTTAAGTGCCACCGAAAGACGTTTCAAAATTAAGAATAAATTAGGTGCCAGCCTGACTCGGTCAGTAGGAATCTCACCTCTGATTCCTGACTGTCTGTACAGGTGGACATCAGAAATGTCATGGCACTATTCAAAAAGAGAAGGGAGTTTCTCCAAGTGTCTTGACTAACATTTCCCCAGATAGAATTGGTCATCTGCTTTATGGTGGTTTGTGGGACATGCTGTGCACAAATCGGTTACTGAGTTCGCCTGCAAGTACAGTCACTATACTTTACAGTAAACACTAAAACGCTTGATGTTTCAACAATGTAATAAGGCACTATACCAAACGCAACAATTATTATTATAATCCCAAAAATGGCAAATTTCTCTGTTTAAAAATTCAAATGGTGCATCCCATGAAATGTGTTTTCGGTGAACTCCATTTATTTTGAATTAGACCTGAAATCATGAAGGCAATCAATTGGCCTACCAATTACAACTGCTTAAGCAAAGCATACTTTATTTTGATTGAATTCTGATCACTCTGAGGTAACCTTGAGCTTTTCTCTGCATTTTGCAACACAGCGGAATGTAGTCCTGATGTCTGTCAATGCTATAAAGAGAATACAGCACTAATTTTTTTCAGCTGGGAAAGGCTTCAGGTTTTATTTCATGTCACAGTTGAAGATCTCTGGGGAAATACATCTACAGCAAGGACCATGCCTAGTATTACTTGAGAGCAATGCTCAGAATAAGATATGTATTGCTTCTGCATGCTTTAAGAAAGCAGAAAGGCAGTAAAGCAATGAACAATCATCTGTAAATCACACAGTCTACAAGTAAACCTGCTCTGAGGTCTCCTTGAGTTTAATACCAAAGGACGTGTGAAAATAGACAAAGCTAGGTTTATCTGATCTCTTGAGTTTTACAAATAATAGCTTTTCTTTCACCGCTGCGTTTAATGCAATTTTGAAATGCAGAGCTGCATCTTACATTACACTTGAATTGATCAAATTGTATATGAAATGTAAAATTCAGTGTTTCTATTCAGTAAGATGGGATAAAATAAAATAAAAATTCTGGATAGTGAAAGACGGAAAGTTTATAGGCATACTCCTTAATGTCACATATCCTGAGCGGTGTAATAATGATGATTTATAAGGTTATTTTCTGAACACTACAATAATTTTCAGAATGTCAACACTGAATCTGGCTTTTTGCCCATCTGTCAAACAGACACGACTGTTCGAGATAGCCTGGTAGCAGATATCATAACTCATTGCAAACTACAATAATAATTCCTATAAAATATGCAGAAAGCTGATTGTAAATATGACTGATAAACTCATTCTGATTTTGACTATGTTGATATGCTTCAGACTTACCCTATAAAAAGGTCTGATAACAGTGTTGGTGCCTGCGGACATTGTAACCTGGGCTGGAGAGTAACCCTGAAAACATGTCAAGGACAAAGATAGTGTTTGTTCCTTCACCGCATTTCTGCAATCAAATTCACTTTTCATTCTATATTTTGTACTTAAGTTAAACAATAATGATCCTTGCATTTGATATTTGATAGTGCTTTATCACATCGGCGAGGTACCTCAAAGCACTTTGCAGGATTTTACCATGGAGTGTGGTGATTACATATTTGTAGGAGAACATGGCAGCCAATTTATGCACAGTAATGTCTCACAAGCAGCCAAGAAGTGAATGGCCAGTTATATTTTTGAATAGTGCCATGGGATCTTTAACATCCACCTGAACAAACAGTTTAATGCCTCATCTGGAGGGCAGCACCTGCAACAACACAGTGCAGCCCTCGCACTGGACTGGACTATAAACCCTGACAGTGATTTCAAAATCTCAATGTGGGGCACAAATCTTTTGTTTCAGAAGCACGAGTGCTGCTGTCTGAGGCCGGCTGACCCTTGGCTCAGTGACATACTGCATCACATCCAGGTTCATAACTGAAACATTATGTATTCATGTGGTAAATTCATATGCCTCAGGACTGAAACAGTGAATTTGATGCTCACTGTTTTATTCTGGGTTTACATCAGCTAAAGCTGTGGACGGGGGCAGGAGGTGGACGGTAGGGGGATGACTCGAAAAGCTGGACCTAAATTTCTGCAATAACTTGTTTCAATTGCACTCAAATGACCTCCAGATGTCTTTGATTAGCCCTGATAATAGCAAGTTAACATTGACTGGAAACTTTTCACCACAAAGAATAAATTACGGATGTGACTTAAGAAGTTATTGCATATTTTGAACTGCATATTCCCCAAAATGTGTAAAAAATGTTTACTTTGTACCAAAATGGCATTTTGAAATTGTTACCTGTGCAAGGCTAAAGGTTTTATCACATCATTGGCGATGTCAGAATACTTGAACATCAGGATAAGTCCTGTGTTGCTATTGATGTGGACAGAATTACATGAAAACACTGTGGAAATCAGTTTGGTGCAATTTCATCTTGGCGCATGAGTCACAACAACAAGAAGATTACATTTGTCTAGCGCCTTTCACGTCGGGAGGACGTCCCAAGGTGCTGACAGAATACAGCGTTTCAGAATTGAAATAAAGTGAATTGACTGTATATTTGTGGAGTACTCAGTGGTTAGAGCACTCGCTTTGCAAGTGAGAGACCTGAGTTCAATTCCAGGCAGAGGGCGAAACCTTGGGCAAGTTTCCTTACTCCACACGCCTAATAATAATCCCTCCAAAACAAAACAATAATAAATTGGTCATTTTCAATCCATGACTGTTTGTGGGACATTGCTGTGCGCAATTGGCTGCCGCGTTCGCCCACAAATATACAGTCAATTTACTTTACAGTATATTCTGTGAAGTGCTTTGGGATGTCTAGAAGATGTGAAAAGCTCTATATCAAATGCAAGGATTATTATTATTATTTATGGATGAAACGCTGCAGCCATTTGACTACAGCAGTGTCCTATAAACAGTCCTGGATTGAAGTGACCAATTTATTAAAAAATATCTTGAGTGATTATTAACAGGCATGTGGAGTAAGGAAATTTGCCCAAGGTTTCACCTTGCCGGGAATCGAGCCCAGGTCTCCCACTTCCGAGGCAAGTGCTCTAACCACTGAGTTACAGGACTCTTGTCATTTGTGTGGGATGAAAATCCCAGACTATATTTTCAAAAAGGTTTTCAGCAATTC